TTAAAATTAAAAAAAAGAATAAGCAGTTAGCCTGTAATCCTAACTACTCAGAAGGCTGAGATCTGAGGACCTTGATTCAAAGCCAGTTTGGGAAGAAAAGTCCCTGATATTCTTATTTCCAATTAACCAGTAAAAAGTTCCAATGGCAGAGAGCCATCCTTGAGCAGAAAAAGCTAAGTGAGAACACTAGACCCTGAGTCCCAGTACTGGCATCAAAGAAGAAAAAAAAGTTCCTTGATTCATTCTACACTTTGGAGAGACACACACTTCGCTGTGTGGGGTACTCTTCGGAATCCTTGCCAACAAAGAACAAACCTATGCTCTAAATTCCACTGGCTTATCTGAATATTTGTCATACTTTTGCCTTCAGAGAGCCGGCATGCCAGGTTAGAACTTGCAGAGGTATTTTAGAGGGAGGGGAAGAGGAAAAAGGAGAGTAAAAAGGAGAGTGTACTACCATGTGGAAGCCACTTGGTGAATCTCAAGTAGGCCCTCCAAGAAGCCATTTCTGCCACCTTGAAATCTCTTAAGGAAGTGTCTCATGTGAACTTCTGTGCGTGTGTGCATGTGTGCATGCTTGCATTCATGCTGATCCTGGGGCTTGAACTCAGGGCCTAGGAACTGTCCCTGAGCTTTTTGCCTCACAGCTAACACTCTACCACTTGAGCCACAGCTTCACTTCTGATTTTTTTTTGATGGTTATTTGGAGATTAAGAGTCTCATGAACTTTACTACCCAGGCTGGCTTTGAACTGTGACCCTCAAATCTTAGCCTTGTGGGTAGCTAGGATTACAGACATGAACCACAGGTACTTGGCCTGTATGAACTTTTGTTGGAAGAGATTCATATAATCAGAGAAGTTGGGGTACTCCCGTCTCTTCTCAAATCAAGTGTGCAGCCTCTGAGATTCGCCTTGGTTGTTTTCGTGGGGTGGGCAAGAAATTAAATTCCATTTGATTAGAGATTCGAATCCTTGCCACTGATTTTTTGAAACTTTTTTAGGAATGGGAGGTGATTAGATATTTCATCCCAAGCCTGTGAGATAGAGCCAGGCTACGAGGAACTGGAACCCTTTCAAGTTCATCTGAGGCAGGAAATCAAGATGGCTGGCTCCTCCATGTGCCCCCCCCCAGACCCATCTCCCAGCCTGTCCACTGCTGGCAGGTTGCTGACAGGCTTTCTTGACCTTCCACAGACAGGCAGCCCAACTTGCTTTTGTAGGTGTTGTTCCCAGGTCTTTTTTCAGAGAGAAGATGGGTTTGTCCTTGAAGGCAAAAAAGCTAAATCCAGGGAGAGGCTGTGATCCAGGCCCAGTGTTCACTCAGTTGTTCAAGAAGCAGAAAACTTGGCTGGGAAGGTGGCTTAGTGGTAGAGTGCTTGCCTAGCATGCATGAAGCCCTGGGTTTGATTCCTCAGTACCACATACACAGAAAAGCCAGAAGCGATGCTGTGGCTCAAGTGGTAGAGTGTTAGCCTTGAGCAAATGAAGCTCAGGGACAGTGCCCAGGCCTTGAGTTCAAGCCCCAGGACTGGCCAAAAAAAAAAAAAAAGGCAGAAAACAGGAATTGTAAGGGAGATACAAAATGTGATACCATTTTTAAAAAAACAAACCAGCCTGATGCTGGTAATCCCAGATCTTCAGGAGGCTGAGATCTGAGGATCATGGTTCAAAGCCAACCCAAGCAAAAGAGTCAGACTCTTTCCTCCAAGTAGCCAGCCAAAAGCCAGAGTAGAGCTGTGGCTTCGTTGGTAGAGAGCTAGCTTGAGTGAAAAAGCTAAGGGACAGAGCAAAGGCCCTGAGTTCAAGCACCAAGACTACATCTAAAACCTAACAAATGGGCTACCACCTCACAAAGTATAAATGAAAAATAGAGAAGAGGTGCTAGAGGATTTGTAAACATTTCGGATGAGGTCATGGTATTTCCCATCATTCATCAACATGAGCGTGTCTCATCTGTAAGAACGAAGCACTGTGGATTGAAGACAGGCTGAGAGCCTGCCCAAAGCAGGAGTTCATTCACCTACAATCCCTAGAAAAGGAGAGGAAAGGAGTGGGATTGATTTGTTGGTATTAAAGCTACCCTGTCCAAGGAGTTCATTTATTTAACAAATATTTATCGAGTAGCTGTTGTATGGTCTGTCATAAGGAGCCAGGTTGCCATAAGCCCTGCTTAGACGGGTGCAGAGATGTGCATCTGGGAGCTGTGGGTTTCCTGACCCCAATCGGAGTGGTCCCATGGAAATTGGGGTCTCTGTTCCATGGGTGTCTCAGCATGTTCCATCCAGTAGGGGCCTTCTTAGAGTTTGTAGATCAAACAGCATCTCAGAAATGTATCCTTTCACCTGAGACAGGTATGTTTTAGATAGCAAATACGTGTAATACCAGAAAACTGTTTCCTGGTGTGTGTGTGTGTGTGTGGTGTGTGTGTGTGTGTGTGTGTGTGTGTGTGTGTGTGTGTGTGTTGGTACTAGGATTTGAATTTAGGGCCCGTATGATAGTCTTCAGCTTTTACACTCAAGACTGATATTCTACCACTAGAACCACACACCACTTTTGGCTTTTTTATAGTTAATTGGAGATAAGAGACTTTGTACAAGCTGGTTTCCAACTGTGATCTCAGCCTCCTGAGTAGCTAGGATTACAGACATGAGCCACCAGTGCCCAGCTTCAACTTTTTTCCAGCTCTTACAACATTCATTCCCATATTAAATTTTTTATTGATAGATAATATACATGCCATAAAATAACCTTTTAGAGTAAATCAGCAGTCTCCTAATAACATCAGAGTTGTGCAACTATCACCACTGAATAATTATAGAAATTTGTGTGTGTGTGTGTGTGTGTGTGTGTGTGTGTGTACATGCACCGGTCCTGGGGCCTAAACTCAGGGCTTGGGTGCTATTCTTTGTTTTTATTCAAGACTAGTGCTCTACCACTTGAGCCACAGTTCTACTGCTGGCTGTTTGGTAGTTAATTGGGGGACTGGAGTCTTACAGACTTTCATGCCTGGGCTGACTTTGAACTGTGATTCTCAGATCTCAGCCCTCTGAGTAGCTAGGATTACAGGTGTGAGCACCAGTAGGCTCCTGGCTCTTTTCAATTGTTTATGCAGTTTGTTTTTTGGTATAGTTTTGGGGGTTTTTTTTGGTCGGTCATGGGACTTGAACCTGGGCTGGGAGCTGTACCTCAGCCCTTCAGCTCAAGGCTAGCACTCTACCACTTGAGCCACAGCGCCACTTCCAGTTTTCTGGTGATTAATTGGAGATAAGAGACTCATGGACTTTCCTGCCTGGGCTGGCTTTGAACCATGATCCTCAGATCTCAGCCTCCTGAGTAGCTAGGATTACAGGTGTGAACCACCAGCACCTGGCCTATGCAGTCTGTTTTAAAGCCATGAACTCTAATACATCTTACTTTATTTTCTGCCATATTGAGGAAGTCATTGCTTAACCAAGTTTGAAGATTTAGTCTTAGGTTATATATTTCTAGCTCTGACAGTCTTTAGCCCATCTAGAGTTCTAGAAGGTGGACCCACTCCATCCCTTTGTATGTCCCTTTGTCCTGCCCCTTTTGTTTTAAAGCCATTTTTTCCCCCACTGAACTATCTTGGTACCGTCTCAAAAATTAATGGCTCATAAGTCTATTGCTGGGCTCTCAGCTCTGTCCTGTGGATCCATATGCCCATCTGTAAGCTAATGCTATGTAGCCCTTTTTTTCTTCTACCTCAGTTTGATGGTTCAAACCCAGGTCTGCTGGGTTTGGTACATGCATCAGTGGCTCACACCTGTAATCCTAGCTACTCAGGAGGCTGAGATCTGAGCATCAAGGTTCAAAGCCAGCCTGAGCAAGAAAGTCTACAGACTCTTATCTCCAATTAACCAGCAAAAAGCCAGAAGTGGAGCTGTGGTTCAAGTGGTAGAGTGTTAGCCTTGAGCAAAAAAGTTCAACACCCAGGTCCTGAGTTCAAGCCCCAGGACTGTGTGCATGCATGTGTGCATGCATGCACACACACACAGAACAGAGGAGGAGCGAGGGATAGGTAGGTCAATGGGAGAATGTGTACCTGGCATGCATAGGCCCCGAGTAGCTTAGCATCTGGACACACCAGGGTCACCATTTGGCATGAAGACAAGGACAGAACTGATATTATCAAGGACTTTCAGTAGGAAGGACAGGAAGGCAGAGGATAGAAAAATGTCCTCAGATTGAGTGGACTGGATGACAGATGAAGAACCAACTTGGGAACACGGGGCAGGCCTTCATGCACACAATGAGTCTGGAGGAATCAGAAGACATCCAGTTGCATAAGCCTCATGAGTACCTGGGAAGATGGTCCCCTGAATGGGCATCTGAGGTCAGCCCTGGAGATGCCTGACCTTTCCACACGAGGTGGGAAGGAGCGAGGAGAGGGGGACAGGGAAGGCCATCAGAGACCCTTTGGACAATAACAAATATATATCCAGAACTAGGAGGGGAGGTGGGATGGGGCTACAATGTCCAATGTTACAATGTCCACTCTTTACGTGACTTCTGTAACTGTAACCATTCTCTACATCACCTTTATAATAACAATTAAAAAAGAAACTATAAAAAGAAAAATCTCCCCGGGGCTGGGCTGTAGCTCACTGCTCAGAGTGCTTGCCTAGCACACACACAAAGCCCTGGGTTTGATTCCCAGCACTGCAACACCAAAGACAGCCGTGACACAAAATACAAATCTATTAAGATCTCCCAAACCAGGCTTAGGATGAAGGCCAAGGGCAGCCAGTGGAAAGAGCTAGAATCTGCACATTCCTGCGGGCCTCGCCCTCCTGTGCACAGCTGGGCCTGAGGTCAGACCCAAGGCGTCTCCTGGCTCCAGCAGGGTTGGCTGGGCAGAAGGCCCTGTGGGAGTCAGAGCTCAGATGCCCAGTCAGTTTCCGCCAGGATGACAAGGACTTCCCCGCTGTCCCACTGCCATTCCGCTGGGGGAGTGGGGGGGGGGGGTGAGGGTAAGAGAATGACGCCTCGAAATTTGATGTTTGTCATCAGTACTAAACAGGCCTCCCCCAAAGGTGGCTCCTGCCGACTTCCTGAAGGTGAGGCCTGAGTTCCTGAGTGCTTGCTGAATTCTAGAAAAAGTTATTACAGAGGTGGGATTCCAGCAAGGAGGGGAAAAAAAAAACAAAACCCTGTGAACTAATTTCCTCTTTGCCAGAGAACATTGTGCTTAGAATCCAGATCAGAACAGTCAGCAGGGCGCCCGTGGCTCACGCCTGTAATCCCAGCTATACAAGAGGCTGAGCTCTGAGGATCACGGTTCAAAGCCAGCCCGGGCAGGAAAGCCCATGAGACTCTTATCTCAAACTAACCACCAGAAAACTGGAAATGGCGCTGTGGCTCAAGTGGTAGAGCACTTGCCTTGAGCTGAACAGCTGAGGGACAGTGCCCAAGCCCAGAGTTCAAGCCCTAGGACCAGCGAGAAAGAGAGAGAGAGGAAAGAAAGAAACAAAGAAAGAAAGAAAGGAAGGAAGGAAGGAAGGAAGGAAGGAAGGAAGGAAGGAAGGAAGGAAGGAAGGAAGGAAGGAAGGAAGAGGCTGTGGCAGTAAATTTCTTACACAGTCACTCAGCCAAGCTATGCCCGAACACCTGACATGGCGGGAGACTCTGTCAGCACAGGGTGTGTGGACGTTTGAAGTGAGCACATTGCTATGGGCGTCTAAGGTGACAGGGCTAAATGCTGTAGAAGCTGCCTAGATTCATAAAAAGTGTCTCCGTCACACATGTGTGCAAGCCCAGCATTTGGAGGGAGTTTTTGAGGTCAGCCCGGGACATATAGTCAGATCCTGGCTCAAAAAAACAAACAGACAGTGGGAGAGAGAAGAGTTGCTTAGAGTTTTTTTCAGGGCTGAATTTTTTAATCTACCAGACGGAGAGAGATGTTTGGCAGCAGTGAGGGGTGAACAGACCCACTGGCCACATCTGGGACTGCCCAGAGTTGAGGGCACTGGGCTCTGAATTCAGAAGTGGCTTTTCAGAGGAACTTGGGACTTCAAAGGCTCCTGGCCGCATGAATATTGTGAAGGAGGCTTTTTAATGTGTTACATGGTCAGAAGCCGTGCTAACCCCTGGGGTGCCAGGGGAACCCCCAAAATTGTGAGGCAGAGTTCTAAGCCCTTCTACCTGGCTGGCTGCTGACCTACCTCAAGTCCAGCCTGAGATAGGGCTCAGGGAAACTGAGGAACTCCAGTTCCTCAGACATGCCGGTGGGGGGGGGGGCAGCCAAGGGCTGGAAAAAGTTGGCAGTTCTTCCCTTGCTGTGGTCTGAGGTGTATACTGAGTTCTTTTGCATTTGTCTACCTACGCTAGCTTCCAATTCTGATCCTGGCTGGGAAGGTGGCTCAGTGGTAGAGTGCTCGCCTCACCTGCATGAGGTCCTAAGTTTGATTCCTCAGCACCACATAAGCAGAAAAAGCCAGAAGTGACGCTGGGGCTCAAGTGGAAGAGTGCTAGTTGCTAGCCTTGAGCTGAAGAGCTGAGGGACAGCGCCCAGGCCCAGAGTTCAAGCCCCATGACTGACAAAAAACAAAACAAAAACTCTGATCCTCAGATTTCAACTTCCCAAGGAGTTAGGACACAATTCTGAGACATGATAGAAAGAGAAATACAAAGTTGTTGTTGGTTTCCAGGTAGAGTTTTGTCTTGTTTTGTGTTTTTCTGAGTGAGGGTCTCACTGTGCAGCCCCAGGCTGGCCTCCATCTTGCAATCCTCCCACCTCTACCTCCCAACTACCGGCATTACAGCTGTCTGCTGCCATACCCGGCTCAAAATAGATATTTGGCTCTCTCTTCAAAGGCATTACTCTATCTAAAATATTACTGGGAGGCTAGAATTTATTAGTTGCCCTGCCCTTTCTCCTATAAAGATTTCCTAGGATTTTTTTTTAATGTGCTTTTCTCAATGGTCATAAAAATCATTCTAAGGCCACTTAGCTACTGGTCTTCAAAAACATATTTGTGCATTGAGATACAGGAGGCGCCCAGAGTCCTCAAAAACACATAGATGACTGAACTTTGCTGATTGACATCATAGGTTTTCTTTGAAGGAGCCAAGGAAGGGGGTCTCAGGAAGGTGGCCTCTGCTGGAAAATGAATTTGGACTGAAGATGCTCGCTTACCTTTCCACCTGATGACCAGATCTTACAACCTTTCTTGCTGCCAACCCCTTTTCCCTGAAGAAACACACATGGTGGTTTTGGAAGAGAACCTGAGATCAAGGCCCCAAGTTCAAGCCCTAGGACTGGAGTGTGTGCCTGCACGCGAATGGGTTCTGGAGCCTATGCAGCAGAAGCCTGTATATCAGCAGCCAAGTTCTTTACATGGTTGTGACAGTCTTTGGAAGAACAATATCAGAATGAGATCTTGCTTTGATATAAGGGAGAACAGAGGATTTATCATAAGGGGACTTGAGGTGGGATTTTTTGGTGGGGGGAATCAAATTACGTGCCTCTTAGCCACAAGACATGCTCTGATAAATCTGTTGCTTGGTGATTTTGTTTTTGCATGAGTGTAATGTACATAGACCATCTGTGCTCACTGTATGACATCATCTTGTAATCAAGAGACAGCAAACACTGACCAATGGGGTAGTATATGCCTATAATCCCAGCTACTTGGGAAGAGATAAGGAGGATCAAAGTTCACAAGCCAGCCCAGGCAAAAAAAAAAAAAAAAAAGTTTGAAAGTGTAGCTAGGACTCAAAGTGGTAGAATGCTAGCCTTAAGCAAAAGAGGTCAGGGACAGCACCCAGACCCTGAGTTCAAGCCCATGACCAAAAAAAAATTTCTTTAAATAGCAAGATTTCCATCTCAACAACAAACAGCTAGGGGTGTTGGTGCAGCTATAATTCTGGCTACTCTGAGAGGCAGACATAGGAAGATTGTGGTCTGAGGCCAGTACCCTCTGAAAAACAAACACGCAAAAGGAACTGGAGGCATGGTTCATGTGGTAGAGCGCTGAGTTTAATCCCCAGTACTGCAAAAACAAAATAGTAAACACAATCAGCAGTAGCTCAGTCATTTCTTCTCAAGTACTATGGTATGGACTTCAACTAACTGCATGTGATAAACTTTTCTTTTTCTCTTTTATTTATTTATTTTTTTGTGCCCATCCTGAGGCTTGAACTCAAGGCCTGGGCACTATCCCTGAGCTTTTTTGATCAAGGCTAGCACTCTACCACTTGAGCCATAGCTCCACTTCTGACTTTTTACTGATTCAGTGGAGATAAAAGAGTCTCACAGACCTTCCTGCTTAGGCTGGCTTCAAACTGCGATCCTCAGATCTCAGCCTCCTGAGTAGCTTGGATTGTAGGCATGAACCACAACAGAAAAAAGTCGGATTCCTGCTTATTAAATCCCCCCTCCCCCATTAATCCCAGAAGCCCCAGCGCCAGCAAAGGCTGGGCGTGGCAGGAAAGGGGTCTCAGGTATCCACATTGGGGGGGGGACGCTGTAGACTGGAAGTGCTTCCTTCACTGCATTCACATAAGCAGGTGTGTGGATCATCTCGTGTTTGCCACGCATCCCAGGGGACCCCTGAGTGTAAGGCCATCCACCAGGTCCTGATTTGGGCATCACAGTTCTGGGAAAGGACATTCGGTTCTGGAAGCCTTTATCCAGCACAGCCTCTGGCCATGGCAGTCACAGAGCCAAGAGGATGCCAGGACGGTGACACACATGTCACATCCTAGTCCAACTCTGCCGTCATTTATAAAGCGCCCTTTGTCCATTCATAGCCAGTTTAGTACTTGGATGTGTAGGCCAAGTGTAGAAGGGAACAAGATGGATTTTCATCCCGTTCTGCTTTCTGTGAACCCAGCTTTCTAGGAAAGAACACAAGCCAATTTCATTCGATATCTTTTTAAGTGTTACTTTTTATGCCCATACCAGGGTTTGAACTCAGGGCCTTGTGCTCTTGGTGAACTTTTTGTTCAAAGCTGGCACTCTTACCACTTGAGCTGCACTTTACTTCCAGCTTTCTGCTGGCTAATTGTATATCAGAGTTTCTTAGATTTTGCTGCCTGGGCTGGCTTTGAGCCGAATCTTAGATCTCAGCTTCTGAGTAGCTGGGATGACAGGCGTGAGCCACCGGCGTCTGGTTCATGAAATACTTTGCAAGTTAGAGATGCCCTGAAGTGAGTGATTTTCAAATTAGTGATTTGTGAACTGATCCCAAACCAGGGGGACAAAGGAAAAAATCAGGTGCTTTATAATGAGGACTGCTTGCCTGGCAGAAGAATGTTTTTTCCTTTAAGCTCAACAAATATTAAATATTTGCATACTGGACAATCACAAATCCCCTGGGGCCAGTCCAGCTCTGCCCCCAGCCTCCGCCCTCCCCAGCAAGTGGCCAGCAAGAGCCGCAAACCATTGACTTGCTTTATCAGTTTACAGGCTTCTCCCTTCCCCCAAGATTAAAATAATAATAATGAAGCCAGGCACCAGTGGCTCACGTCTGTAATCCTAGCTACTCAGGAGTCTGAGATATGAGGATCAAAGTTCAAAGCCAGCTGGGGCAGAAAAGTCCATGAGACTCTTAAAAGCACCAGAAAACCAGAACTGGCGCTGTGGCTCAAGTGGTAGAGCGCTAGCCTTGAGCTGAAGAGCTGAGGGACAGTGCCCAGGCCCAGAGTTCAGGCACCACAACCAACAAAACAAACAAACAAAAAATGCTAATCTAATGCCAGTGGCTCATGTCTGTAATCCCAGCTCCTCAGGAGGCTGAGATCTGAGGATCACAGTTTAGAGACAAAAAATATGTGAGACTCATCTTCAGTTAACAACCAAAAGGCCAGAAATGGCTCGAGTGCTAGAGTACCAGCCTTGAGCAAAAAAGCTAAGGGAAAGTGCAAGGCTCCAAATTCCAGCCCCAATACTGTCACTAAAAAGAAGGAGAAGAAAAATTGCGTGTTTGTGGCTCATCCAAAACCACAGATGGCCCACTGGGTTTCCGGGAGAGGCCTCCTCTTCCTGGCATCCTCGGAGAAGCAGTGATTAAGTATTAACTAGCAGCCTCCGGCTGGGCTCTCAGCAGAGGGGATCTAAGGCAAGGAATGGCTTGTGATTATGAGCAAGCATCTAGGTAGGATAAACATCTGTACTTCAGTTACTCAGAAAGGCCTCCCACCTCCCCTCCTCCGGCTCCTGGGAGGCCTCTGCTGCCTCATCCCCAACTGTATGAAGTCACAGATTTTCCAGAACTGCTCCAGTCTGGGGTGGAAGCCCAGGACCAGTGACTCAGATTTTTAACTCATGGAAAGGGTGGAGCTGATGACAACACAGCCGGGCCTGGTTACGACAGAGGCGGGAAGAGCGCAAGCGTCCACACTCAGCCAGCCTGATTGTAATCCATCCATTTTCAGTAACTGTAACAAAATACCCTAGACCACAAGATTTATGATGAATGGAAGTTTGTGTGGCTCATGGTCTGGGCAGTGGGAAATCCAAGAGCCTGGTGTGGCATCTGGTGAGACTCTTCTTGACTTGTATCACAGCTTCTTGGGGGACGGTGCGAGACCTCCTTCCCCTCACTAAGTCCCAGCATGAGGGCTTTATATTGACCCCCAAGCCCTGCCATTCAAATGCCATTACATGTACATACATGTTCATTACATTACATGTCAATCTGGGGATTAGGTATCCCGTAAGATCTGGGGGACAGACTCAAACTTTAGCACTCTGCTATCATGGAATTCAACCTCCCCTTCTCCCCTCCCCTCCCCTTTTCTTTGTGGCGGTACTGGGGCTTGAACTCAGGAACTTGCACACTGGTGTGCAAGTTATTTGCCTCATTTATCTCTTATTTGCCTTCCCCTCTTGGCGTTGGTTATTTTCATGATAGAGTAGTGCTTTGTGTCTGGGCTGACCTGGACTGTGGTCCTCACCGGGATTACAGATGCGGGCAGCCACACCCACTATCAGGCTTGCCCCATAGCAAGGGATGACAGGGCGCAGGCCACAGAGCACAGGCGAGGGCTTCCCTTCAGCTGGGGTGAGTCACGCCACCACACTCAACTATTGGCTGAGGGGCACTCTAACTTTTACACCCAGGGTGCCCTTGAGTGGCAATCCTCCAAACTCTGTCTCCCAAAATGCTAGGAATATAAGCTTGATTTTCTTTTTAAATAGGGACTTATACGTGTGTCTATGGCTGACTTTGATTACTAGCCTTCTATTTCGCTGGGCTTAAAGGCCTGAGCCACTGTTCTTGGCTGCCTACTGTTACCTTGTCACCTTTAAATATATCACTGCCCTTCCTGGAGACAGAAACCACAACCTTAAAACAAAAAGTTAAATCACACCGGGTGCTGGTGGCTCACGCCTGTCATCCTAGCTACTCAGGAGGCTGAGATCTGAGGATCTCGGTTTAAAGCCAGCCCCGGCAGGAAAGTCCGTGAGACTCTTATCTCCAGTAAACCACTAGAAAACCAGAAGTGGCCCTATGGCTCAAGTGGTAGAGCGCTCGCCTTGAGCTGAAGAGCTGAGGGACAGAGCCCAAGCCCAGAGTTCAAGCCCCACAACCAACCAAAAAAAAAAAAATTAAATCAAAGCTGGGCACTGGTTTCTTACACTTGTAATCCTAGCTCCTCAGGAGGCTGAGATCTGAGGATCCCAGTTTGATGCTGATTGGAGATGGCCAGCTGGACTTGAGGTCTTGGGTGGGGGGGAACCTCAGGGAGGGTGTCCTTATGCTGGGCATTGTTCTAACATAACCTTAAGGCCCACACCAGAGGCCAGCACCATGCCCGGAAACTTCCCAGCCTCTAGACCATGAGCCTCTACACTCTATATAAACCACGCAGTCTTGGGTGTTTTGTGATAACTAAGATGGGCCGGTGGCTGGTGGCATTCCATCTTCAGCTCTGACTCATTCTCCTTCTTCAGCTGTCATGGGTCACCTGGAAGATGATGCTGCGACTACTGGCGCCGAAGACAGCATGCCTACGCTGGGTGCAGAGGACGGCCTGGTAACCTCAGGCCCTACCGAGGGGCCGCAGGCAAGTAATCCCAGAGGAGGGGAGGCTTCAACAGGACAGGAGCCTGAGCGCGAGGACACGACATGTAAAAAGGCGTAAAGCTAGCATGGGCAGACACCAGGGAACAGCTGTGTAGCTCACCACAAAAATCGACTTCCCAGTTTCACCAGGGAGGAGGTAGCTGGTGAGTCAGTTGTGAGTAACTCAAGTGTCATAAATGAGGCCTTTTCAAACTAATGAAGAAGCCAGGTGGTAAAACTCGCAAGATCTTTGGGCATGTGGTGATAACGTTGATGCTCTAAGTTCCAAAATACCTAGTCTCATTCTTATCTGACCATTGATGGGTAAGGAGCACCGCTGGAACCAGACACAGACGACACTAATCGTGTGTAATCTCAGCACAAACATTTCCTCACCTGATGAATTCTGATTGACTCCTGTGTGTGTGTGTGTGTGTGCGTGTGTGTGTGCGTGTGCGTGTGTGTGTGCGTGTGTGTGTGCGTGCGTGTGTGTGTGTGCGTGTGTGTGCGCGTGCGTGCGCGTGCGTGTGTGTGCATGTGTGTGTGCGTGTGTGTGTGTGCGTGTGTGTGTGTCTGTGTGTGTGTCTGTGTGTGTGTGTGTGCGTGTGTGTGTGTGTGTGTGTGTGTGACTACAGGGGGTTTAAACTCAATACCTTCTGCTTTCAGTTGGTTGTTTCTGCTCAAGGTTGGTGCTCAACCACTTGAGCCACAACTTTACTCCAGCTTTTTGGTGGTTAATGAGGGATAAGAGTCTGTGGACTTTCTGCCTCCTGAATAGCTAGCTGGCTTAAAATCAATATCTTGTTGTGGTTTTGGTTTGTATTTCTGACCATTGACACTGATTGTCTTTTTACCTACTATCAATTGAATATCATCTTTGGAGAAATGTCTGTTCAAATCCATCACCTGGTTTTTAACTGAGTTGTATCTAATGTAGGTTCATTAACTTGTTAAGTTATAACGTTTTTCTTTTTTTCTTTTTTTTTCTCTTTCTTTCTTTCTTTTTTTTTTTTTTTCTGATTGTGGGGCCTGAACTCTGGGCCTGGGCACTGTCCTTCAGCTCTTCAGCTCAAGGCTAGCACTCTACCACTAGAGTCACAGAGCCACTTCCAGTTTTTTCTGCTTATGTGGGGCTGAGGAACCAAACCCAGGGCCTCATGCGTGCGAGGCAAACACTCGACCACTGAGCCACCTTCCCAGCCCTTTTGTTTGCTTTTTTGAGACAGGGTCTTGCTAGATAGCACAGGCTGGCTTTGAACTTGGTCCTTCTGTCTCAGCCTCCCAAGTGCTGGAATTACATGTATGCATCACCACACCCGGCCCTCCTTGGAGAAATTAATTTATTTCATTGTTATTACAAAGTTGATGTACAGAGAGGTTACTGTTTTGTGAGTCAGGTAAAGAATACATTTCTGTTTTGGACACTGTCACTCTTTCCCTTGCTCTCTCCCAGTTGTTTTGGTTTTTTCCCTCCCATCACCGCCCACAAGTTTGCAGTTCATTTTCAACATAGTTTCTACTCTCTACCACTGGCTTGTTTAAACACATATATATGTGCTTTCTCCTACCCCAGCTGCCATCTTACTTTGGGTTGTACCCTTTGGTGCACAGGAGTTCTTGTCTGCTGTGATCCTATTCATTTGTTAGTTAAATGCTCCATTGGCCTACACTTGCAGGTCACAGAACCACTTCTGTGGAAGCTTCAAAGTCCTAAGGGTCTTTTTCTAATTGCTGGTAGCTTCCAGATGTCTAATCGGAAGGCTGGGACGCTCAGCCCCACCCAGCACCCTCTGCCTTGAGAACCTCTGCTGGAAGGGCAAGTTGATGGCCTTTCATTAATGACTTGATCCATCACTCACCTACCACGAAGCCTCCTTAAAAACTCCAGGCAGGGCTTGGAGAGTGTCTGGGCCGCGCCTGGAGAATGGCATGCCGGGAAGGTGCCTCTTCCACAGAACTTTGCCCTGTGCGCTTCTTCGCTCGTATGCTTCCCAAACAAAGAGCCAGTGTGAAGAACAAAGAAACACAGGACCACTTTCAAGTCCTGCTCTCTCACTTAATGGCTCTGACTTAGGACCAGTGCACCCTGAACCTTGTTAGTAGAAATGACCTAATAAAAGGATGTGCCTGACAGGTTTATGAATGGAGTAAGGGAGAGAAACTCTTCAAGGGCCCAGCAGAAGGCCAGCTCTCAGTGAAGCCTGGCTGCCACTGCTCTTGGAGTCTTGGCATTAATAAAAAATGTTACAAATAGCCTGGTTCTGGTGACTCACACCTGTCATCCTAGTTACTCAGGAGGCTGAGAACTGAGCATCATGGTTTGAAGCCAGCCTGGGCAGGAAAGTGGAACTATGGCTCAAATGATACAGTGCTAGTTTTGAGTAAAAAAGCTCAGGGATAGAGTACCCCAGCATCCAGGCCCTGAGTTCAAGCTCTAGGACCATCCCCTCTCCCCACCAAATGATACAAATAAGCACCAAAAACTGTTAAAGGGGAAAAGCAGCATTGAAGTTCAAGGGAGAGAAACAATTAGAGAATCATGATCCAGTATATTTTGGGAGGAGGAAGAAGAATTAAGAGATTAGGAAATCTGCATGCCAAACATTTGGGGTTCATTTCTGGACTAGATAGACTCGTTTTATTCTTGGCCCTACCATTGTTGTTTCTTTTTGTTTTCTTGCTTCCGTTTGGAGTTTATGCTAGAGTATGTCTCATGTATTTGTGCCTCCTGAAATCTTTCTGCTGTCAGGCTGTACATTGGAAATACATGAGGCTTTATTTTCTGGGTTGGCTCATTTTCATCTCTTCATAGGTGCCAACCAGGGCAAAGAGTTCAACCAATGCTGGCCTAGAAGATCTGCCCACGCCAGGCAGCTCAGTTGATGATCACAAAGAAAGCTCCACAACCCTACTCACGGCAACATACCACCCTGTGGATAAGAAGACTGGTCACCCCAACAGAGGTGGGTCGACCTTTGTGGAACATGGGCATTCTAAGTATAATATTATAACCAATAGGGGACATACTGGTTCTAATAGAAGACAATATATATTGGTTTGACTATAAGACAATATAAGGAGTGAATCCAGAGCCAAGCTTTTGTGTGATAGGCGCAGAATTTGATTTGTAGGTAGCTATATCAAATTCAATTTATTGAGCTGCTGGAAACATCCTTCTGTCTCTAAACAACGTCTGGAATCATAGTGATGATGTCCTTATAAAGAGAGGGTAAATAAATTCGCTCCTTCTGTTGCTTTGCTGACACTAAAAAGCATGAAGCTCAGCCTATGTACATCCTAAGAGATTCAGCAACACTGTTTTCCATTTCCATTATGCTGGCCAAGGATCAGAGCTAATCCAGACTTACCAGGATTTGGGGTGGTGTTCGTGATTTCGCAGGGCCCTGCTGCAGTGTGGTAGAGAAACTTTGGTCAGGCTGGAGGTGTGGCTCAAGCGTAGAGCGCCAGCTTGCTCAGCAAGCAGAGCAAGTGTGAGACTCCACGCTCAAATCATGACACTGGCAAAAAAAATAACAACAACAACAACAAAAAGTGACACAGGGTATGCATAAAGGAGCAACTAATATTGAAACTGGATTTTTATTTTATTTATTTATTTTTATTTTTGCTGGTTGTGGGGCCTGAACCCTGAGGCACTGTCCCTCAGCTCTTCAGCTCAAGGCTAGCACTCTAGCTACTTGAGTCACAGCGCCACTTTCAACTTTTTCTGCTTATGTGGTGCTGAGGAATCAAACCCAGAGCTTCATGCATGCAAGGCAAGTGCTCTACCACTGAGCCACCTTCCCAGCCCTGAAACTGGATTTTTAGACAACTCCCCCACCCCCGCCAGGCCCAAATTCCAGGAATCTTACTTGTCAGGTCTAGCCAGTTGCTTTTATATACTAAATAAAGAGACATCATGGTGAAGGGCAGAAAGAGGAGATTTATTACATGGCAGCCATGGGGCCACCTTCAGCCATGTTTAAAAATACTGTACAGACATTTGCCATAGCTGTAAGTAAGACAAGGAACTGGGGGCAGGAGATGGGAAAGGTGTGCTTGGTTTTAACAGTTGTCGTGGTGGGCGTGGCCTGGTTGATGTCTCTGGAGGATCTCACCACTGATGGGAAACAGAAGCAGCACATCAGTATTGGCTGGCTGCAGGTCTGTCCTGCACTCTCTTTTGGACAAGATGTGAGTGAGTAGCTAGCATTGCCCATCAGAGGGGCAGTTTGCCTTCTGCCACAAGAGGCCATCACTGGTAAATCCCACCCTTCTTGGAGCCCAAGGTGACTTCGGAGAGAATGGTTCCTATCAGAGAGCACGGATGCCAATTGGGGGAGGGCTTTTCTCCTGCTTTTAGTTCATTGATTGGCCCCGCCAACGCACGTTTGAAGTTACCACTTACAATAGGATTCCACTCCTATGTGGTATCTAAAACAGCGAAAATCATAGAGTTGGAAAGTGGATAAAGTTGGTAGTGACTACGGGCTGAGAGAAGGGACAAATGAGTTATGAGTTACGGCTCAGCGGGTATGGCATTTCACTTTTGCCAGCTGGAAAGAATTGTGTGGTTTATGGACATAGCTCTGTGGTAGAGTGCTTGCCTAGTATGCATGAGGCCCTGGGTTTAATAATTAGCACTGGAAAAACAGAGAGAGAAAGCACTGTGAATGGATATATTTAACACCATTGAATTGAACCCTTAAAATGGTTCATTAAATACATTTCCTGCTGTGTGTATTTTAACCACAATCTTTTTTTTTTTTTTTTTTTGGTCAGTCGTGGGGCTTGAACTCTGGGCCTGGGTGCTGTCCCTGCACTCTTCAGCTCAAGGCAAGCACTCTACCATTTGAGCCACAGCACTACTTCTGGTTTTCTGGTGGTTTATTGGAGATAAGGGTCTCATGGATCCTTCCCAGGCTGGCTTTGAACTGTGATCCTCAGATCTCAGCTTCTATAGTAGCTAGGATTACAGGCATGAGCCACCAGTGCCTGGCTTAACTACAGTTCTTAGAGAGAATGTTTTATTAGGGGAAAGCTTCCTGTCAAAGCAGGTAATAGATAACTGGAGATAACTCAGCCCTGATCTTCCCAAACCAACCCACAACTCTCCAAGCACATGCCAGACCTCGCCACAGGCTGTGGGTGCTCCATGGTATTCACAGTGGGCTGGGTATCCACAGCTCTGGTTCTTTTGCTACTGTAATCTATGAAAGCATTTTGACCATTTATTTCACAGTTGTGCTTCAGTGTACTTGACTCGGATTTCTTTTTTTTTAAGTACTGGTATTTGAAGTCAGGGCGTCACACTTGAGCTAAGTGCTCTACTACCATAGGTCACATCTCTTCTTCCGTGTGAGTGTGTGTGTGTGTGTGTGTGTGAGAGAGAGAGAGAGAGAGCATTGACTCTAGGGCTTGAACCCATGGCCTAGATGTTGTCCCTTAGCTTTGCTTTTTCACTCAAGGCTAGCACTCTACAACTTGATCCACAGTACCACTTCTGACTTTTTGATTGTTAGTTGGAGATAAATGTCTCATAGACCTTTCTTCCCAGGATGGCTTCAAACTGTGATCATCAAATCTCAGCCTCATGAGTAGCTAGGATTACAGGCATGTACCATCAGCGGCCAGCCACATCTCTGCTTTGTAAATTGGAATGGGGGATATATAAATATAATGAACCCAAAGGTATGATGAAGTATTATACCTTTGCTAATAATAGTTACAACGGTAGTGTCATGTCATAGCTTGCTTAAAACTCCCCTGTGAAGTTTAAGAAGTTGCCTTCTGCATATATTTGCCATCTGCTCAATTATAGGTATTAAATCCTACTAATTCCTTATCATCATTTTTCTCTTTGCAGAGAAGGTGGCTGAAGAGACACAGACAACAGACAAGAATGGTAAATAAGATTTTTTATTATCCAACTAGTCCTATAGGAATTTAAAAGACAATTTCTCTGAATTTAATCTTAGAGATGGATTGCATTCTTTTCTGTATTATAGCCAATAGGAACAGAATAAGATTCCTTCTCAAAACAGATTTCATGCTTCTTTCTTTTTAAATTTTTTTATTCAGAAAGAAAGGGGAATCCCTATATTTGAAGAAGAAGAAAAAAGCCAGGCACCAGTGGCCAACACCTGTAATCCTAGCAACTCAGGAGTCCTCAGACTCCTGAGTGTGTGTGTGTGTGTGTGTGTGTGTGTGTGTGTGTGTGCGTGCGTGCGCGTGTTTGTTTGTTTTTTGCCAGTTCTGGGGCTTGAACTCAGGGCCTGGGCACTGTCCCTGAACTCCTTTTGCTCAAGGCTAGCGCTCTACCATTTGAGCCACAGCACCACTTCCAGCCTTTACCATTTATGTGATACTGAGGAATCGAACTCAGCGTTTCATGCATGCTAGGCAAGCACTCTACCACTAAGCAACATTCCCAGCCCCAGGCATCTGAGATTTGAGGATCACAATTTGAAGCTAGCCTGGGCAAGAAAGTCTGTGACTCTTTTGTTATTGGTGGTGGTGGTGGTCGTCGTGGGGCTTGAACTCTGGGTCTAGGCACTGACCCTCAGCTCTTCAGCTCAAGGTGAGCGCTCTACCACTTGAGCCACAGCACCACTTGCAGTTTTCTGGTGGTTTTTTGTAGATAAGAGTCTCATGGACTTTCCTGCCTGGCTGGCTTTGAACTATGATCCTCAGATCTCAGCCTCCTGAGTAGCTAGGATTACAGGTGTGAGTCACAAGCACCCAGCTATGAGACTCTTATCTCCAAATAACCAGCAGAAAACTGAAAGTAGCACTGTGGCTCAAAGTGGTAGCGCACTACTGAGTTCAAGCCTTCACAACTGACAAAAATAAATAAATAAATAAATAAAATAAAGCAGAGCTAGGCATCAGTGGCTCGCTATATAAAGTCCTAGCCCCTCAGGAGGCTGAAAATTAAGTATCAAAGTTCAAAGCCAACCTAGGCAGGAAAGTCCATGTGACTCTTACTTTCAATTAAGCAACAAAAAAGGGGGAAATGAAGGCATGGCTCAAGTGGTAAAGCACCATCCTTGAACAAAAAAGTCAAGTGAGAGTGTGAGACCCTGAGTTCAAGCCCTAGTACACACACACACACACACACACACACACACACACACATGCAGAGCTGGGGACATAGCTCAGTGGTAAAGCACTTTCCTAGCACGGGATCCCAGCGTTGCAAAGAGATAAATGACCATTGTGGAGCAGGGCATTGGTTGGTTGTTGCTGGGATTGAATGGAGAGGCCTGTGGAGTAGACCGCAGGATGATGCCCATTGACAGAGGCCGGGGTGTTCTATGTGGTTGAGAGCCGTTCATTCATCACATGAATGGATTCATAAAATGAGATTTGCTTGGGGCTGGGGATAAGCTACTGGAGGGAGCGTTTACCTTGCATGCTCCGGCCCTGGAGTTGATGTAGAGCATGGGAAGAGGACCTCGACCTTCTGCCTGGGTCTGGGGGAAGCGACCTGGAACTTCATTTGCTGTGTGCAGTGACACGGTGCCCTTGTTGACCTCTGACATTCTCTGCAGTGCAGGGCTGTCTCTCATCTGGGCCTCACGTCCTCTTCTCCGCTCCTTTCAGGTGGTCTGGCCACAGTGACCCTGGTCGGCATCATCGTTGGGGTCTTATTAGCCATTGGCTTTATTGGAGGCATCATCATAGTGGTTATGCGGAAAGTTTCTGGAAGGTTCTCGTAAGTAAACTCTTGAAAGTGATTCCTGTAAGTAAATCACAGGCAGTCCTGCATGGTGGCTAGCCTTTCCCCTACTAGAAATCTCTATTTGAAGGTGAGGCTTGAAACCCATTACCACAAAAACTGCACCCGAGGATCCTCCAGAATAGATGTGCACTTAGATGTCTAAAACCAGAAAGCCAGAGCCTGGGAGGGGTCTCAAGGTGACCTCTGTAGTTGAGATCTGACCCAATCCAGTCTCTTGTCTTTATTTTCTAACTAACTGAACACAAAAGAAAACCCAAACCAAGTTTTAACTTGCGACTCACCTCACCCACATGACCTGCCCAGCTTCCCACTATTGGAGGGAAGTTTCTGGAAGACAGCTTGTCACCGGGCTGTGCTCCCATTCTGACAAGAGCAGTGGTAATGATGGGAGGGGGTTTATAATCTAGATCCTTCCATGTCTGCCCCTCAAAACAAAAAAAACAAAAACAAAAACCCCTACCCTTGGGTCCTTCTAGCTTCCTAGCATTGACTTTTTTTTTCTTTTTGGTCGGTCATGGGGCCTGAACTCTGGGCCTGGGCGCTGTCCCTTAGCTCTTCAGCTCAAGGCAAGTGCTCTACCACTTGAGCCACAGCACCACTTCTGGCTTTTTTCTTTTTGCTTATGTGGTGCTGAGGAATCGAACCCAGGGCCTCATGCATGCAAG